TTATCTGTGATCGTGACCATTACTATACGATAACATTGAAAATCGCGGTCAGATACCGTCAAATAAAAACCTTGCGCTCTGAGAAATTAAATGCCCATATCGTTTCCATTTTATCATCGCCGCACTCGCCATAGGAACATAGTTCTTCAATGCTATCTGAGACACACTTTAATGCTATTAGGGACACAAATCGTTTATCAACCGTGTCGAATTCTAAGTTCGTTCACAAGACTTTATATGTCTCAAAATATTTTCCTTTATATGGACAGATCTTTGCAAATAAATTGTCAGTGTCAAGGGAACGACTAAACTGTTCATTCTTCTAATAGAGAGCTGGTGTAAGCGAAAAAGTACTTAAAATCTTATAGCTACTTACATGATGTATGCGACTTTTTTGTGACGCGATTTATGGTTTAATAATGTAATGTAAATAAAACAAAGGAAAAAAGTTTGTCCATCAAAACTCTGGGAGAAATATTGCATTGAATGTATTAGGTACTTATAGTATGTGTTAAAAGTGGCGCAGCATCTGGACTTAATTTTTAAATAATCCATGTAGGTAGTTGATACCTACTTTAACTAAAATGTTATTTTATTAATAACGTAAGTAACAAGTTCACGATTGACTTCCACGGTGAAGGAATAACATCGTGTAATACACGGAATAACATCACTGGTGGTAGGACCTCTTGGGAGTCCGCACGGGTAGGTACCACCACCCCGCCTATTTCCGCCGTGAAGCAGTAATGCGTTTCGGTTCGAAGGGTGGGGTAGCCGTTGTAACTATACTGAGACCTTAGAACTTATATCTCAAGGTGGGTGGCGCATTTACGTTGTAGATGTCTATGGGCTCCAGTAACCACTTAACACCAGGTGNAGGACCTCTTGGGAGTCCGCACGGGTAGGTACCACCACCCCGCCTATTTCCGCCGTGAAGCAGTAATGCGTTTCGGTTCGAAGGGTGGGGTAGCCGTTGTAACTATACTGAGACCTTAGAACTTATATCTCAAGGTGGGTGGCGCATTTACGTTGTAGATGTCTATGGGCTCCAGTAACCACTTAACACCAGGTGGGCTGCGAGCTCGTCCACCCATCTAAGCAATAAAAAAGCAAATAAAAAAAATAAAAAAAACGTAAGTAACAAGAAATCCTAAAAATTCAATTGTTATCGCATTAAGTATGTACACGTTTTTACTAAACATTACGTAGAAATCTTAATTTACACGCTAATATTTTAAAATAATTACTATAATCCTTCTAAATTGGTACATATTGTTCTGACCAAGTCATTTATGAATTGGTTAAAGTTTTGTCTTTTGTTCATAGCAAATTCTCACGAGCCGCGTCCGAAATATTAATATACCTACTTAGGTATAACATGACTCATTAAAATTCCTAGTAACACTAAGCCTGTCTTTTAGTGAATCTAAGTCGCTCTCTCACCGTACGTAAGAGCGAGACAAAAAACTGTTTCATTGTATCAGTAGTATTTCCAAGAAAGAGTGGAATGTTGCGTATTTCGCTATTGAGGCTCAATAATTACGACAAATTATAAGAGAAATGACTTTTTTAGATAATCTATATATATAAAAGAAAGTCGCGTTAGTTACACCATTTATAACTCAAGAACGGCTGAACTGATTTGGTTGAAAATTGGTGTGGAGATAGCTTAGAACCAGGAGAAGGACATAGGATCTTTTTATCCCATTCCCGTGGGACGTGACATAAAACGTGGTATAACAAAACGCAACTGACAGCTAAACGTTCTATGGTTAACTATAGTAGAATTTTGAAGTTGACCGGTTGATGTGTTTGAAACAAACCGTGTGGCGGAACAAAGCTCGCCGGGTCCGCTAGTATATTTATAAAAGTCGATGGTTTTCTGTGAAATTTTCATCGGTAAAAGCGATAGCATAGCGATCGGTAAAAGACAAACCAAAGATCCGCCGAATAGAAGCAATGTATACTGAGTTTTGGCTAGTACATGTATTGCAATTTTGTATTACGAGTAGTTTACATATCGGGGGTGAAAGGCTATTTTGGTTTAAGCTACATTTCGCTTAATACGCGACATTTATCTTTGTAATTAAAGATTTGTAGGCAGCGGCTTGGCTCTGCCTCTGGCTTTGCTGAAGTCCATGGGCGACGGTAACCATTCACTATCAGGTGGGCCGTATGCTCGTCTGCCTGCAAGGGCAAATAAAAATAATAATAACAATAATAATCGAAGACAAGTCACACGCATTAGTCTGGCCTCAAGCTACGATTTCCTGTACTACGGGGGCCATAGACTGTTATACATACTTTTATGTATTTAAATATATACAAATATAGATATTAACCATCCAGACAAACAAATGTGCCTATCACTCAAATGTTTGTCCGATGTGGGAATTAAACCCTCGAACTACTGTACCGCTGAGTCAGTCAATATACCTACCTGTATTGCCTTATAATGAAACTAACTTATAAGGGAATATATGTATGTATGTATGCCATATTACCATAATACCATATATTATACTTCAACAGCGTTCTGAATTCGGACAGCATATTTCTTTGTAGTATTTTTATGTTAACAAACTTATCTAATTCGTGTTTACCTTGTCTTTTTAGGGTATCCTACATTTCTTCTGTCCAATTCGACTTTGCCGTGGTATTTCAAATTAACAATAGCTGCTATAAGCATTATAATTTTGTTATAATTTTATAAATCTTGTTGTAAAAATACATCAATAAAACTATTTATTGTATAAGTTTCCCGACCGTTAAGTAAAACTTAATGATGTTCCCTTTGAGGAATAATCTCTTTATAACTCGCAAAAAAAAATATTTTCTAAAATAAATACTAAATTGTATATCACTACTAATTGTGATACCTAATATTATGTATTCTGTGTTTAAATATTCGATGGTAATCCGAGGTGAATGAATCAAGCGAGCAAAAAGATTCAACAAAAAATACACACTTTAATCTAAAATCTAAGTAATCCAGAGCTAGAGAAGAAAAGCTATCAGCACCTTGAAACATTGCCGCTACCTACCCTCGTTCATAACATGAATTCCTTCACTTATTTTCCTACCTAATTCTAAGTCTAAGCGTCGGTATGAAAAGCAACTGCCCGAAATTGTTGAGACAATTTTGTAAACAAATATTTAAGTTTAATAATTTCTCATTTGGAATATAGGATCTATATTGGAATTTAGGTTAAAGTTTAAAATTGAGGTTGAGGTATCTATATAGAGAAAGAAATAAATAAAACATAAAGTAATATAAATATTTAACTACATTTATTACACAAATGCCTCATTGGATTGTTCTTCCCTTTGAAACTACGAGAAAGATTGGATGCATATTAGTCTGAAAAATATGAATAGTGTGTGAAAGAAGTAGGTATCTAATCTATACTTATATAATATAATATTATAAAGAGGAAAGATTTGTTTGTTTGTTTGTATTGAATAGGCTCCGAAACTACTGTACCGATTTGAAAAATTCTGTCACTGTTGGGAAGCTACACTATTCCCGAGTGACATAGGCAATGATCTTTTTTGAAAAAATTAGGGATCCTTACTAAAACTTCAATAATGTAACCCAAAGTGTAAAAAAAGATACCTAAAGTATTCTTTACATCGCGTGCCCTGCGAAAACTATAAATGATAGAATAAAATAATGTACTACGACTTTCTAGAACACATCATTATTTACAAAAAGTGTCGCGACAGCATATGTCTAACTATTATAGTTATGCAGCAATAAGTGTTCTTTTATTATTAAAAATAAAACCACGTCAAATATCGTTGAAATTTTTGTTAAAGACCCCGGCGAAGCCGAAGCGGGCCGCTAGTCATATTATAATAGTAATACCATACTCGTATAGCTTTACGACTTAAGACGTTAGATTTAATGATTTTTAATGATTAAATAGGTTCACTCAAAACTCGTGAATGGCTTAAGTTAACTTGTGTATAATTTTAATATTCTGTTTTTATTTGTAATTTTTTTTTTATATTCCTGTACATAATAGAGTATAAATAATAATAAATAGCACGATATTTATGTAGAATATCAAAGCATAATTAGAATTAACTATTTATTTTTCGATAAGCATAACCTACGGCACTATTTTAAAAAATAAACTACAAAAAAATGATGTTTGAGCTTATGTGCTTCACAACATTTGTACCGTAATTCAAAGTTCTCTAAAGAGCTGCTTCTGTATTCCTTGGAAGATGATTCTTATAAGAAACCATAGACATTTAAATCTACTTCTATGATATAGTAATAGTGATTGATGAAGCTTTATGTTTATTTTCATCCAAAAATATTTGAAGTAAACTCCATTGTACACCTATGTAACGTACATATTTATCAACGTCCTACAGTCTAGTCAAATAATGATAACAATGAAATAAAACATGTTTGTCTACTTCGTTATTTTAAATTTCTATTTATTTGTTTCAATAATACTAATTCATACTTTTGTTTATTTCAATTAAATCAATACGTAATCTAGTAAATAAACAACGTTATGTTTACATAATTATTAACAACATAGCGTGGACACGATTATCGCGTGCCGATACATATGTACAAATAGACACGTACACCCTATCTACATACATAGCTTGGTCGTTTTCAGACTTTACATGAACGATTTAAGTTAAACATGACTTCATATGAAAGATCACTTCGGAATAGCAATATCCAACGTAAGGTACACAGTAAAATTCACAAAAATGTATGTAATTTGTAGAAAAAGAAAAAAAGAAAAGAATGTTCCTAAATACAGGTTGTTATATACAGCTTCAAGAAAGAATTGAAAATTGGAAGTCAGCAACATAATTACGGTATAACACAGAAAGAGCACGATCGGGAATAGCTTAGAATTAATCTATAAAGTAATTTCACTAAACGTAAATTCCACTCCGGTATCATAATTACAGTTCATATTGAATATTCACAATTTATACAATCTGTTAGTTATATTTGGCACAGTTTAAATATCCGGCGGGCGATGCTGGTCGGGAGGGCTTGGAGGCGCAGGCGTGGCGTGCCGCCTTAGCTGCTGGAGTAGTGCGGGTTCCAATGCCGGCCACCATCCGCCCAGCAGCGGATACTGTGTAGCCGTTGTCAACGGCCCTCTGACTTCTTCATCTACACCACGTTCCTCTTGGTCGCTGGCTACCACATCTATATCTTCCTCGGGTTCTTCGTCGCAGCTGCTATCTCGCCGCTGCCTTTTCTCGGGAGTTTCGTCGGGCGCCAGCAGCGAGGCGACGTCGAACTGTCGTTTGCGCGGCTGCCCTCCGCCGGCAAGTCGGGCCGCATTCCAGAACGGAAGTGGTAACGCTGTCGGGGGAGGCGATTGCGGCGGCGGGGAAGGCGAGTCTTCGCCATCGTCGTCCACCGCTAGTCCCATGTGTTTTCTCACCTTTCTCTGGGCTTTGCGTCTTCGAAAATCGCCCTTTCGGAAATCTTCAACGTTTGCAGGATGTATGGCCCAATAGTGACCTTTCCCGTTGGCTGACCTGCCTGCCTTCACGAAGCAGTCGTTCAATGATAGATTATGTCGTATTGAGTTGCGCCAGCCGGGACCGCGGGTTCGGAAGTACGGATAATTGTCCAAAATATGTTGATAAATGTCGGATAGAACTAGTTTCCTTTCTGGCGAACTGAGGATGGCCATCGCGATAAGTCCTATGTAGCTGTGTTGGGGCTTCGGTTCTTCGGGTTGCAGGGCGCGTTGTTGCAGCAGCGACATGGACAGCGCCAGGCGCGGTCCGTAGGGTCCGTAACATGGTGCTACCGTCGGTGGATATAGTCGTAGCCGCTCGGCGACGGCGTAGTTGTAAAGCTGAAGACGATAGTGGTCGATTGCGGCAGCCGTAACTGTCGGAGCGTCTTTACCGAGCGGCCAGGAGCCTCCCTCGGCACCGCTGCACATGTTGTCAAGCAGAGAGCCAGCGTCGGAGTGGAGCTAAGCGCGGCGGAGCGACGGCCGCGAGTTCGGATGGGGGCCGGACCGACCTCAGCCAATCACCGCCGCCCTACACTTGTATACGTGTTATTGTTTAGCGACGGCCCACTCCAGTGGCTTTGCGACTCCACGCTCCCTGCCTTGAGGCTACAAGTACAGCCAGCAATAAAATTCCTAATCACCTTCTATTGTAAAATACAATCTTCTTTTAATGTTGTTTGTAAGGTAATTAAGAAAATAACATGACGTATTATTTAGATTCATTTTCACAGATCGTAACGGCCTGCTAGTTCTTTTTAATGATTTTTCAATATCAGAAGTATTCTTAAGGTAATTTAAGATTAAAAAACTAAACTAAGGCAAATACTCTACTTTAGTTAGAAATTTGCTGAGTTTGGAAAAAAATAATTACCAATGGGAGGTTTTGTTGCTGATGTAATGTTTATCATTTAAATTATTGAAAAAAAGCTTTCCTTTTAAATTATAACAACATATTACGAAAATTCAATTTACTTGCAATAAAAAACTATATTCTGACTTTAACATAAAAAATTACTAAGCATTACCCAATTATGAACAAATAACAAAAAAGAGCTTGCATAGGCAAATAATCTTAGCGTATTCCAGTATCAAAACTAATGTAGATTACTGCGACATAATGGTAATATATAATTGGCATTAAACAATTAGTTTAATGTGGCAAACGTATAGGTGTTTAGTACAATACTATATACCATTTTTCGCCATCGTTAATGATAAATTTAGATTCGTGCTTTTTTTTCTATCTGTACATCATCAAAACCGTTACAAATGACAACTTCGTAGCGAGTGCTTCCCCTGTTATTTCAGAGATATCACAACACACAACAACACATTACTTCTCAGGAGGTGAGCGAGAAAGGGATGCAGCTAGAAAAATACCTTCCCCTACCGGAGAGCGAGAGGGATAATCGCAGAACAGTTTCATGCACGACAACAACACAAGTAACAATTTCAAATCTAACGTTGTTTATTCGAAATTCGATCTAAGTTACGAGAAAATAAAGATGAATTCGGCGTTTTCGAAAGCTGAACGTATTATGTTTTCGAATTGGGAATATGCGTTTGAAAACAAAAAGCACGGGCAAGAATCGTGTCTGTGTGCGAGAGGGGCAGAGGATGGTATCGTTGTAACGCGCGACTCTCGATGCAGTTACCGCCCATTTAAATACGCCATTTTGTTTACTGTCTCCAGTCTCCACGGCTGGAGCCTTTGTGTTTCGTTTCGAGAAAGCAGTGTTTTGTGGAATAAGTAAATCGCAGGAAACATTTAGGTATATGTAGGTTAGACAATGAGGGACTGAGGTTCGGTGGGTCCGCATCCGAGTGTTTGTACAGTTCGATTGATTCAAACAAAAGAGTATTACGTTCGTTGTAAGAAAGCCAATTATTGCACGTATCAAATATTTTCATTTAGAAAGTTTTTTTTTTTATATTTTTGGCAAAGCGTGTTTTTTTTGGGTTTTATTAAAAATCACAGCTTACAATCGAGATCTGCATACGATTTCTAAATTCGTTTTAAATTTTTTATAAGTTCAAACCTATAATTCGTGGTAGGGCGTAGGTATTTTGAGTTCGTATAAGATGTCTAGGTAAATAGTTTGAACTTCAATTCTCAAGTCAAGCGAATGCCTCCTAATTTGAGTTATTAGGCCGGTTTACCTGTCAGCATCAGGTGAGGCGTTTGTTTGCTTGTTTGTTTGCTTCGAAGCGTTCGCACGGTGTTAATCCGATACTGTTGAATCATTTATAGTAGTTGCCCGGATCACATTTAAATGTTCTTGCATAATACCATCCCCGTGCGTTAGTGGTGCGAGAATGGTTTCAAGAAATCGATGTTTCTGATCAAATTAGCGATTTGTTAATAGAATTAGATGCGCTAATATGAAAGAAAATATTGCTTTACTATTGGATTTAAAAATCGAAACAAAAACAAAACTATTTACATACGAATCCATATAAAATGACAGAAACTTTCCTTGAAGGACCGCCAATAAATGGCAAGGGAGTGCATAAAGCATATTTGATACATTTTTCATCGACATATAGTATATTAAAATCGATTATGATATACTATCGATACAGTGAAATGTTCATTAATATTTTGTACATGTATTACAATAACAATTATTTGTTATTATTTATTAAATATATACTAGAAACTTTCGCTGATACGTGAAGCCTTAAAACTTAAAGACTTCAAGTTCGTCAAATCTGTTCGTGAAAATTATAATATCCGTTTTAATCTATTGCGCCCCTAAAATGCTATTTAGTGAAAGTATATAGTTAATGACACAATAATAGCAGTTTTTTTTGTTTATTCTTAGTCTATACGATCACAAGCATTTATCTAACCTCATATATTCTAAAGTCGTTGTTGATACCACGGAAAAACTCTTTACATACCTACATTATCAATGTATCCTAGACATGAGTACTTTGAAAAAATATTATAGTATTTCATTACATTTCATAATCCATTTATCACTATTATATTATATATATGTACATATATTTCCACATTATAATATATATCTATGAGTAAGCGACGCAATTATTTGATAGTGGTAATGAATAAGAGAATTGTATTTCACTGGTGGTAGGACCTCTTGTGAGTCCGCACGGGTAGGTACCACCACCCCGCCTATTTCTGCCGTGAAGCAGTAATGCGTTTCGGTTTGAAGGACGGGGTAGCCGTTGTAACTATACTGAGACCTTAGAACTTATATCTCAAGGTGGGTGGCGCATTTACATTATAGATGTCTATGGGCTCCAGTAACCACTTAACACCAGGTGGGCTACGAGCTCGTCCACCCATCTAAGCAATAAATAAAAAAAAATAAAAAAATTTAATGAGGTTATCATAATTTTAAGATAATTATATTTGTAGAATTTGAAACAATACTCTAATAACAAAGCTAACGGAAAAGTACCTAATTTAAGGAGATCTTAGGTAAATTAAAACGATATTTATTAGTATTTTAAATGAAAAGATTAATAGCATCGAATAATTTTAACGTTTTTACATAATATCAGACTTAATAAAATGTGTGTATGTAGTTTCAAAACTCACAAAACACTCGTAAATAGCAAACAGAATTTAACAATAATTAATTTCATCTTTTTAATTTTGATGATACTGATCAGGATATGAGAACGAAGTTATAAAATAATAATATCGTCAACGGTATTCGATGGGAGTGTAAATTTTCAAATTCATCAGACGTCTTCAAGTCGATGAAAATTCATCCATTTCAATTTTCCATTCATTTCATTTTTTTTATGTTTTATTTCTTTGTTCGGTGGACGAGTTCACAGCCCACCTGGTGTTAAGTGGTTACTGGAGCCCATAGACATCTACCACGTACCTAAATGCGCCACCCACCTTGAGACATAAGTTCTAAGGTCTCAAGTATAGTTACAATATATACATACAAACACACATATTTACCAATCTAATAAAATCTTATTAAAACGATATAAATGATTAAGGTGATATTAAACTACATTACGAGTGGACTATTCAATGTTCCGTAAATTGTACTAAACCAAAAAAAAAACGTAAAACTTGGCTCCAAAATTCTTTCCATTCGGTCGAGTTGGGACGAAATTACGCTCAACTTGTGAAAAATAAATTCAACTACCCGATTTTCTGTAAAAAAATTTATCACAACACTAATTACGTTGACTTATGTAACTAATGTTGTGATAAATTTTTATCACACGAGTTTTATTTTTTAGGTGTACATGTTTGGCGCCTATAGGTTTTTTTTTTCTTATCTCAACTGAGAGCCTTGAGAGGCTATTTCAGCGTAACCTTATTAAGTAGGTGAGCTCACTGGGCTCAAACGGGACGACGTTGCTAACACGAACCCTAGCAAGAGCCGTGCTTCGCAGAATCTACCACCGGATCAGAAACGCGACCCACTGAGAAGATCCGGCAAGAAACACAGCGGCCTGTGTCTGAGGGTTAAGGCCTCTACGCTGTACTCAATGTATTCACAGTATTAGTTGTACTGTATTCAATCTATGGATCTATATATCGAAAGGTGAAAGGGTATTTGGTTTAAACGACATTTCTCTTAATACGCGACATTAACGAAATACGTACTCAACAAATGTTCACGATTGACGTATTAGCTTCAACAGTTCGATGTTTTTAATTGAACTTTAGTTAAGTTTAGTCTTTTTTTTAGGTTGCAACATTTTTTCCAAATTTTAAAGCTCTTTTGTGATGTTGCAAAAAAATGTCGCTTAAGCCAAATAGCCTTTCACCCCTCGATATACATAATATGTACCTATATATTTATGAGATCGAAATACACATACTAGGAATCTACACCCAACGGGCTAGAACATAAAGTTGTGGTTGCAGATCTTGTAAACAAGCAATCCAATTTAATTCTTAGCAACTGAGTCTGCAGTCTGGTGGTCTCTATGGGCTCCAATTACTGTTTAGCACCAGGAACCTAAAACGTTTAACATTATAATTTATTAAAAAAAACATATGTACATTTTTTGTATTCAATTTAATTTTTAGCAACTAAGCCTTCAGTTTGGTGATCTCTGTGGGCTTCAATTACTATTTAGCACCAGGGACCTATTAGCGTTATAATTGAACTTAAAAAAAAAAAACCTAATAATAATAAAGAAATACATTTATAATTTCTATACGTGAGTTTTGTTCATTGTTGTCCTAATTGTCGGAGACGGCGAGCCCGGGGAGGCGGTTCGCCCCGCCCACGACTCAAACGCTTTTGTCTCCGACAGTACCGCTTACATGTAAATTTTTAGTAACCGTAACAACGGAGGGCTCACTCGGTGTTTGTATTGTTTGCTCAACTGTACTTACAAGACAAGGCGGAGTTTCGTTCTATTAAAGTCTCACGTGTTCAAACATGGATGTACATATGTAATTCGTTAGCCAA